ATACTAACTATTACTATTTAAAAAACTTCTAGATTCCTCCTGCGACGGTTGTTGTTGAGTCAAACTTGCTAACTTAAACTGGCTCGCATTTTACTCTGTAAAGTCTGTTTATAAATATAAGAAAGTGAACGCCGAACAGGTCCGTACTTTGCTTAGAATTTAATTATTTGGGGTTTTGTTAGGAAAGATGCTAAACAATATTTATTTATTTATGCATGTATTTATGTTTAAATCTAAAATAAAACCACAAAATATTTTTATTACCTACTTAAATTACTTATTCACATAATATATCAGTATCACTATCGCTATCATCCCCTGTTCTAATTATTATTTGTTCTATATTTTGTTTTTAAACCAACTTTCAAATAAATCAGCGGTGGTGTCTTCATGGTAATCCAGAGAAGAATCTTTAATATTTTTCACAGACAGAGAAAGTCCATTTAGAATCCAACCATCTTTAGAGCCAGCATGCAAAATAGTTACTCTTTTACCTCTTTTTGATGGCGCGGCTCACTTATCAGTTGAGTCAACCCAACCCTTTTCCGGGGTATCATAAGTATCAACCAGGTTTCATCCAAGTAAATAATTGGCCTTTGTGGTTCTCTGTAAATCTTAATTATTTCTAGATATTCCAGTCGCCATTTCCGAATTCTAAAAGGTTCCATTAAAACTTGCCTTTTGGCAACTTTTTTAAATCTAAAACCCATGTGTTGAATGCACTTCCATAAGGTAGTCTGCCACATTTAACACCGGTTTCATCTTTTTCAACCCTCCTAATTAAGATATCTAATGTAGGCATGCTTTGTTCCTCGTGTAACTGGTAAATTTTTTTCATCTACACTTTCATCTACACTCGAGAAAATGTCAACATCGCTTCTTTTTTTCCTAGCTGAAATGGGATTATTCACAATTTTTCATACAGTTGATGTTGGAATTTTCGTCAATGTGGCCGTTTGTTCCAAAGATGCTTGCTTACTGGCACCACGTTCAATGAGAGTGAAATAAACATTGTTTATAACTTCCTTAGTCTCAATAGAATAGTGTTTTCTACATTTGGGTGGGAGCATCTCCTGAGATGCACTAGACTCGCACATATTTCGCATAATTCGCACACGATTCAACACACGCTGTATTACACGCGAAATAAGAATGATTATTAGTAAACTTAAACTAAGTAGTATACCAAACCAAAGAATATTAAACATAGGTAGGTATAAAATTATTTTCTATTACGGACCACAATTCTACCTGAATTTAAATTCCGAAACTTGGATAATCCCATTCAAAAGCAATTGGTCACTTTCTTATATCTATGAACAGACCATACCTGTTTATATATTATTTGAGAGAGGCGGAGCTATATTGGTGACAGGTATCGATCTGAGTCGCGGTTAAGATTATTACGTTACTTATAGATTTCTATATATTCTCGGATTTTTCGTTGGTAGAAGAATTGATTACATGCAAGAATTTTAGTTTTATGGAATAAAATTTTATGTCCGGTTTCGTGATTGTATTCGGCTGCTGATAAGTTTATTTGTCTCAGTCTTAGTCTTAAGGATCTTTCATGTTCTTTGAGCCTAGTTGATATTTTTCGCCCGTTCTCTCCAATGTATTCTTTACCGCATTTGCATGGAATGCTGTAAACTCCTGGCATCTCTAATTGAATTTTGTCTTTGACGGATCGAAGATATTGAGAGATTTTTGTACAAGTGGTAAATCCGGTTTTGACGTTATATTTCTTAAGAACTTTTCTTAAGTGGTCAGTGATGTTTTGAATGTAAGGAAGGTCAACAATGGCAAGTATGGGATTGCTGTCGCACTCATTGCTTTTGGAAGATTGTGCTGAAGTGAATTTTGTGATGGAACGCTTAATATCTTTAATGTGGAAATTATTAGAGAGAAAAGCACGGGTAAGGTGTTTTAATTCTTTGTTCAATGACTCGGACTGAGATAGTTTTACGGTTTTCGGGTCGGATCGTGATATTATTATTATTAGTTTCTAACTCAAAGGTAAAACGTACTATATACGTACTACGTGTATAGAGTTTAAATGTCTAAAAAAATATACTAAGCATTCGTGAGCATGAAGGCAAATAACAAAAGTGTTATCGACGTAGCGCTTCCATTATTTTGGTTTTAGATGGAAGGTGTCGAGAGCTTTCTTCTCAAAGGCTTCCATAAATATATTTGCTATGACCGGTGATAATATAGAACCCATAGCTATTCCCGACGTTTGTTCAAAAATTTGACCGTTATAAGAAAAATATGTCTGAAAAAGTTTGCTCCAAGTTTTCGGATTTTAATATATCTAAAATGTTGTTGGGAGTTTCAGGAATAGGGATTTTAGTGAAGAAGGATTCTACGTCGAAACTCACCAGAATATCTTGTGGATATAATACAATGCCTTTTAATTGTTCAATAAAGTTAAGCTTTGAAGAAGCCAACAGGATGATTGGCGAAACGTTAGCAAGTTCGACTCAACAACAACTGCGGCAGGAAGAATTCAGAAGTTTTGTAAATAGTGACCTGTGATGGAAGTTTCTTTGAAAATTAACTCTTCTTTATTTTTAAAGATACAGGCGAACTTATCCAGCTCAAATTTCAGAAGTTGTTGTATTTATGCGATCTAATGTATGCTATTTTTTATCTGAATAAAGAGTTTTTTTCATGTTTTTCCAACCTCATTTTTTTTGTTATAATCTAATTTAAAGAAATCGGAATCAAAGTACTTGGACTATTTATCTATATTTGTCTTCGTTGGTAAAAATGTATTTTATAACCCAAATAAAGTTTAGTTTAAAATAGATGGTTTATTTAATTAATTAATGTAAAAAATCCCATATGATGCGGATTTTGTGTGCCAGGGATGGCTAACTTACAATAAGCAACAATTACTTTCACTTACTTTAAGATCGATCCATAGTGACGAATGCAGTCTATCAACAACTTTCTTTGGTGTACGTGGTGACTGTGGTACCTAATAGAGCGCAATCTCATGCACAGCAACTCGCATTGGAGAGCGGTGAAATAAACGAATCTCGATACCATTATATCAGAATACAAATTTATGGTGGAAACATACATGATACCGAAGGCTTGGTGAAGGTATGCCAGTTCAAATCTTAAAGGGAGCGACACGTCAAACGGATACCACGCTTGAACGGGTAGTCCATCGGTTTTATTGTAAAACATCGGGGTAAGTATGGAGGAGCTAAATGCAATCCACGTCAGTGCTACAATGATATTTTTAATTCGAGTGAAAGCATGCAGGACTTCTTTTATGGTTTTCATTTCTTCCTTGTTCCTTGGCCGGAACAAATCTTCTTCCAATTGGGTGACGATTTGTTTGAAATAGTTTCGATTGAGAAAAATAAAAATGGATTTCACTTGGCCCATCAACGATTCCAGGTTTACGTATCCCATTTGGGCGAACTGCGTGATGGTGCTGCTGCAGATGAACCACTTAAGGATCATCATGGAGTTGAGTAAAACGATAAAGAAGGCGTTGATAAAAGTAAAATAGTACTTATAAAGTTTGGGCAATGGTTGCCCGTCGTTTACCCAGCATCCGAACAATTTAGCCAACGCAAAATCACCCTTGAAATATCGAATGTAATTGAAAACACCCATTGCCACTGCGTATTTAACATTAATATTATAATAGCGAAAATGTCATTTGTTTAGTACTATAATTATAATAGTTTCTAAGCAAAATGAAAAAAAGTACAGTTAAAGTATGCTGCTAATTATGGGAGAACTTAAAGTAATTTAAACTTTTTCCTTAAAATACTAAAATATTGGAAGGACGAAACACCATTAAATAACCAACAGAGTTGCCGGTTTCTTGTTTTTATTTCAACCAAAAGTCACTTAGAATGTTGAATGATGATGAAGAATTAATAATAAGTGCATCCACTTCCGTTTTCAAGGGACGTAAACGCTAGTATAACCCTGTCTATCGAAGACATTTGGTTATATTCGAATTAAATGAGCTAAGATATGATTTTCGTTTCACAACGTTTTTCACACTTCACGTTATCTAACCAATAACAGTTTCCTTACATATGATTTAAGAATTCGGTAAGTGTATCGAATATATAACATCACCAGTTCTTCGTTTGCTTAAGACTTTCTTAGATCTTAATATACCAGGCATTAATTAACTTCCTGTTAATGATTCAACACTGAATTTGACTTGCATTATATCGAAATCTCGATCAAAACAGTAAGTGTCGTTGATAGTCTGAAATAAGCTTTAATTGATTCACAAATAATTTTTCAAAGAAACTTCCACATGATATTATTTACAAATCTTCAGGATTCCTCCTGCGTCGGTTTTTGTTGACTCGAACTAGCTAACGTTTCGCCAATCATCCTGTTGGCTTCTTCAGGGCTTGACTGAAACTGTCAGTTTTGTTTAAGACGCCTCAGTTTCTTATCGAAAGTCTTTTACATTTCTGGAGATTTTGTTGGATAAAAATTATTTTTATTATTATATTTTCATTATTTTACTTCACTATCATTCTTTTACAAGGGTGAATTCGCAAAAGACCAATAATTATATCAAATACATTGTCTATAATTTTTGTAGCCCGGTTTTTCTTTCTTAGTTTTGTTTAGTTCTTCTATGATCCTGAATTTGTCAGCTGTAGTGTAGCCTTCGGACAGATTTTGTTCTTAGTTTTATATCCGTGCATTACAGCTATTTTTCAGTATTAATATTTGTATTATATTTGTATATTCAGTTACTACAATTAGATATACTGAAACATCAGTCAAGCTCTGAAGAAGCCAACCGGATGATTGGCGAAAAGTTAGCTAGTTCGAGTCAACAAAAATCTACGCAGGAGGAATCCAGAAGTTTTATAAAAAGATTCACAAATTTATTAATTTATTGTGTGTCCACAAATCACAAAAATCTTAAATAGGTAGATTTAAAGTAGATAGAAATCACATTTTTCTAGCGAGTTTAACCGAGTGTAGGATAAACTTACTTTAAAATGAGTCTGTAGTGGTGAACGCAGTTAACCAATTTCTCTTTCTGTTCTTGATAATCTCCAATTCTGATAGCTTCGAGTCGCAGGCACAGCAGATCGCATTGAAGTCCGACGAAATGGGCAAACCCAGACACCAGCACGTCGGAGTACATGTTGATGAACGATATGTACGTTATGCAAAACCCTTGGTGCACGTAAGCTAATTTAAAATTCATCTTCACCGACAAATCGAAGGGATACCATGCCTCTAATGGTAGACCATCTCCTTTGGAGTAAAATAAGGGGGTAAGTATGGAAGAAGTGAACGAGACGCATGTCAGCGAGATGAGAATTCTTTTAAAACGGCTAAAAACGCTCAGCACGTGATTCAAAGTGGTAAGCTCCGCCTCGTTTCTTGGCTGAAACAAGTCTTCATTGAATAACTCTACCAAGTTCCGGAAATCACTCCGGTGAATGAAAACAAAGGTGGACTTGACTTGACCCATCGTGCAGATTAGATTGACGTATCCCATTTGGGCGAACAGTTTTACACTTTTGCTGTTAGCGAACCATTCGATCGTAAGTATGATGTTGTAGAGGACGATAAAGAACAAATTGACCATGACGAAGTAATATTTGTAATACTTGGACTCCGCCCTTCCGTCATTTACCCAACATCCGAAGAATTTCGCCACATTAAAATCTCTTTCGAAATATTTTTTGTAATCGTAGGGTATCATGTTCGTCAACGACTGAATCGAGAATACTGAACCGAGTTTCGCTCTTTTTAGGCCAGATATAATTTGCACTCTCGCTCAATGATTAAAGTTAGAAAACAAAATGCCTTTCTTTGGGTCCCGAAGATAATTATACGCATTGCTCAGCCTAGTTTAAAAAGTTTACTTTAATAAGCTAGCGTTTACTAATGGGGGATTTGCCTTTGAAGAAATACAAATTAATGGTCGCCAAACGCCTGCTTTTTTATACAGGGTGTTTCTGATTTCAAGTGAAAAGAGCTTAGGAGTGATCCAGCACAGGAAGATATGGAGAAAAAGGTAAGTTGGAACAAAAATTGCATTATTATGGCATTTAAAAACCGACGAACGAGCGGACTAGCCTATCACACGCTCCGAAGATTTCTTTTCGAAATTATGTTCTTTGTTTATTTCGACAAATAATTTTCGAAGTTAATCACTTTTGAAATCATTTTAAAAAATGAAGTTCACTCGATTTTTTGTGTTTTTTTGAGCCTCTGTGGTATACTGATTTTAGAATGATTACTGGAGGATTGTAGTTTTGATTACAGAAATTGGCGGAAAAGCTTTCACTCCTTTTTTTGTGTTTTTGGCTAAAAATCACTATTTAGTTATTGCTTAACCCGGAAAGGGAGGTTTTCGGTTAATCACAGTTGTTTTCATTATATAAATTGGCGAAAAATCTGATTTCCACTGGAATTTGATGAAAACCCAATAGAAAAAGCGAAGTTTCAATTTTTTTGGGTTTTTTTTAGTCAAAAGTTCCACTTTTAGCTATTCCTCAAGCGAGAAAGAGTGTGAAGGTGTTTATGCTGCTAATTTCTGGTTGGAGGTAGTTATAATTGCACATTATTTTCTTTCCTTTTGTTCAACCACATAGAGGCTAAAAAATAATGATGCCAAATACCAACATTTACTACTCCCTTCTGTAAAATACCTAATTATACACCAATGTAGCGTGCGTAAAGTGTTATTTTACCACGTCAGTTTCGTTTCCCATAGGTCCGAGTCACTTCGCACATTTCCGGGATATCACCGCATGGGTTTGGGAGTTATCGGATGTTTTCGCACGGCTTGTCCATTCTGACGGTCATGTCATTGAATGTATTCCTATTGTTTTGCAAAAATAATAAAGGTCGTAGAAAATGTATACATGCAACACGTTTAGTAAACTTTCTAAGTAGCTCGTTTATTAGTCTTGCTTCGCTGCGCTACGCTCGTGCCAAATGTCGACGTCATACTATTTGAAATGATATGTACAATTTTGTAAATACCAGAATATATTTTTACATATTTTCAATTTTTGCAAATTCATAGAACAAAATCTAGTCGTTTGTTTAAGACGCTTTAGTTTCTTATCGAAAGTCTCTTACAATTCTGGAGATTTTGTTGGATAAAAATACCGCTGATTTCATTATTTTATTTTATTATCATTCTTTTAAAAGGGTGAATTCGCAATGATTGATAAAATTGATTTAATGATTGATAATATTCCACGACTTATTAAAACATGTATGGGCGCTAGTTCCGATTTCTACGAAATTGGTGTAATAGGTATAATCATTTTGATTACCCTCCTTAAATACATTGTTTATAATTCTTGTAGGCCTGTGTTTCCTTCTTAGTTGTGATTAATTTTCTATGATTTTGTATTTGTCAGCTGTAGTGTAGCTTTCGAACATATTTGGTTCTTAGTTTTAAATCTTGCAGTACTAACATTTGTGTTATATATCTATATGTTGTTACTACAAATAAACCGCTTTAATATTATCATATCGTCCCGAAATATTTTGAAGTATGACGAGTGTATTGGGTCAAAATTATCAGTTGCTATAAGACTTTTGTTACCTTAATAAATAAAAAATTAGTCAAATCATATCGTCTATAGAATAAAGAGTGTCTTAATTGATAAACTCACTTAAAGATCTTCATGTGATGCCGAATACAGTAACGCAATTCCCGTTGATTATTCTTTCTGATTCCTTTCAGCCTATGGCAAAGTACATCACATTGGATACCGATAAATGTAACATACCCTGCGACCATCAAGTCAACGTATACAGATAATAAAGCAAAATAGCTAACGCTTATTGCTTGATGCATGTATACGGGTACGTATGTATCCAATTGAGCGATGCTTATGGGATAATACGCCGGTACTGGGAGTCCTTCATTTTTCTTCGTAAAGAGCGGAGAAAAAATCGTTTGGATGGTGGACGCCAAACACCATCTCACGAGGAATTTTCGTATTCCTGCAAAGTGATCTAGAGTGTGTGTTACGACGTTGGTTTCGGCAATAGTTTTCGGTTGAAAAGAATCATCGTCCAGTTGCCGAACGAGTTCTCCAAAATCATCGCGATAATAAAATATTACGAGCAGTTTAACTTGGGCCATGATTCCCACCAGAATGATGTACCCCAGCGACGCGAACTTTTTCAAATCGGTAGAAGCAAGAACCCAGTTGACGCACATCAGCAGATTCAAAGTTCCAACAAACAGTACATGTACCACGTGAAAATAGTACTTGTAGAACTTTGGCAATGGTCTGCCATCCAGTATCCAACAGCATGCCACTTTTAGCATTGTAAAATTATTTTTAAAAAACGTTCTGAACATTGAAGACATTTCGTACCTTCTATTGACGACACGTGGCCCATTGGTCTGATTCGGCTTAAATTAGAATTTCCGGAAGTGTGGTCTCACCACACGTGTCATTATTTTAATAACAGGTATTTATGCGGTTCGGATTTTTATTTAATAGCTATATAACACAGCCGCAATTTCTTTTATTCTGAATAGTTTATATGCTGAACGTATACTTATGCTTATTGATTTAATTTGCAACAGAAATCCGATAAAAGAATAACCGTCACGATATGACTTTTTTATGTCATCTTAACCTAAAATATGAATAAAAGAATTTAAAGCAAAAATCTTTTGGATTTAAAAAAAAATCACTTGACTTATTATTTACTATATCAAAATAATATTTAAAAGCATTTATCGTTATTCCTTTTTTTGCAATACATTCGAAGGGAACCAAATTTCCCTATTGCTGAAGTTATTATATTTTCAAATATTTAGTGTGTAAAAATTAATAATTCGGTCACTAATTAATTGTTGGCTACTAGTACTATTTCTTTTTTAACACAAGTGATTCATTTCAAATGACTAATATTGCTATGAAAACCAATTTGGTTTTTATCTGAGCTAACGCCTCCAATCTTTCATGTCGTTATTTGATGCTTGTCAATTTATCTTTATTGGTTACTGTTTTAAATGGTTTAAATTTATTAATTAAATAATTTGTTAGAAGAAATCGAAGCGTTAGAAATGAAGAACAATAATAATTACAGAACAATTTATTAATTTTAATTAATTAATAAATTAGTAATAGTAATAATTTGAACAAAATCGGCCAAGGATATCAAAACAATGTTTGCTTGGGGTAATTTTGTGTGAACTAAAGGTACTTTAAAAAATGTAGAAGATAAAAACGAAATTTTATTTTGATTTTAAATATTATTTGGTATCCTAAATAAATTCTGGATAATTAAACTGAATAACAACCCATAAAGTGGTATATTTTAGGTGGAGATTAACATATTAAGATGTGAGTCTTAATGGGTTATTGGGATCTTATTTGACAATCTAGTGGCTTAAAAAAGCCATATCGTTGCATTTATTATTTTCTCAGAAAAAGTTTTTTTGCCATTATGTCCGAAAAAGCAACCTTGTGGCAAGATGAGCAATTGCAATCGCATCACGTGATAGCCCATGAAAAGCTCTTTTCTAGGACCGTCTGTTTCCCTAATTCCAAACCTCGTTGCCCTTACTGGGACACCCGGTATATTAGATTATTAGGCACAGGAGATATGTATATTAAAATAAAACTTGAGTGTTTCTAAATGATTTAGAATAAATAAACTGTATAACTAAATAAAAACCACATAAATTGGACCATATTTGGGGTGAGTAATGACTCTCCCTTAATAGTGAAAAAGTTAAGTTAAATGTATATGATTACCTTAGACCAGTGGTTCTCAACCGCCGTTCCGCGGAACACTGGTGTTCCGCGAAGCTGTCCCAGGTGTTCCGCGAAAATTTTGAATATAATATAATAAGAAACAGTAAATTTTTTTATTACTATAAAATAAATACTACATAGTTTTGTTAATTATTTGAAATTTAGCAAAAATATTCAATATTATTCTAAATTTTCGCGGAACAGTCAATAATATTAACAGTGTAATTATCGAACGACGCAGTTACGTCGTTTGGAGTTACTCCGGGGAATACCACTAAATTTCTAGTGTACTCGATAACGCAGGGAGCGCTACGTAGTGTTGATTTCGTGCTGTTTCTCTTTCTTCGTACGTAAATAACAAAAGCGCAATTTCGATATGCGGTTCAGCCATAATTTAATATAAATATCGAGTTTTCGTGAGTGTGTTTTTTATTGTATATATATATTTTATATTGTTGGAAATTGGTAAGATGAAATGGAAGTTGTGTAGTTTTAACAGTATTCTTATCTTTTTTAGTTGCTTATTTTAGCATTTATACAAGACTTTTAAATCTGAAATATGGACAAATTTTTGAAAAGACTGAAAGTGAGGTTAATGTTGGGGCGAGTACAAGCAGGTCTTCTTCAATTGAAGGAGATATGCAAGGCAACAAAAATGCCGAAAATAAACGTAAAAAGATATCCGAATCAGTTCGGCATTATTCGGAAGAATATCTGAAGTTTGGTTTTACATGGAGCGGTAGTCAAGATGTTCCTATTCCGAGATGTATTGTATGTGGTGAAAAATTGGCTAACAGTGCAATGGTCCCAGCTAAGTTACAGCGACACCTTTCAACAAAACATTCTTGTCTAACTTCGAAAGGTAAAGATTATTTCGAAAGATTGCTGAAAAATCAAGAAGTGCAAGCAACATGCTTTCGAAAGAGCGTTACAATTTCGGATAAAGCGCAAATCGCTTCTTATAAAGTGGCAGAACTAATTGCATTGAAGCAAAAGCCGCATGATATCGCAGAATCGCTAATTTTGCCCGCATGTTTAGAAATTGTTAAGATTATGTTTGGCAATGAAGCGCAGCGAGACGTCCTAAAAATTCCCGTTTCGGACGATACGATAAAAAGAAGAATTATAGATATGTCAGGTTTTATAGAGAACGCAGTGACGGCGAAATTAAGTACAAAAAATTTTGCGCTGCAAATCCACTGACATAAGTGGCAAAGCCCAATTAATCGGATTTATTCGCTTTGTTGACGACACTGAAA